GAAAACTATTACAATAAAATAGATTGTACCAATAATATTTGTGAGTGACTTAACAGTTCTTTTAAGGAGTTCATAGTCCTTTCCCAAAGGTAAGACTTTTTTTTTAGTGCATAATAATTCTAAAACAATATTTATGAATATTGGAATAAACTTATTCTCTCATATGCATACTGTAATTGTCAAATGACAGATAATATAAATATCAAAAATAATAATTTATCTGAATATGCAACTATTTACCTATTCCTATTTACATATATATAATGTATTTATGTAACTTTATGATATTGGAATTAACTTATTCTCTCATATGCATACTTATAAATATCAGGAATAATAATTTACCTGAGTGTGCAACTATTTACCTATTCCCATTTACATATATACTTTATTGCATATATTTAATGTATTCACGTGCATGATTTGCTTTGTACGCATTTACGCAAATATATTGGATGCGTGAAATATAATTAAACTATTACTATTGTATAATTATGCAATTATTGTTTGTTATGCAATTATTTGTTTATTTACTATTATATGGTAATCGTAACATACTCCTTTGATAATAATTATATTGAATATTGAGAAATTCAGATTATTTCTATATATCAAATATTAATCACCTTAAGGGTGGGAAAGAGAAATATTCGGGTGCAATTTTATATAAAAAATATAAAAAAAGCGTCACACTAAATTGTCTTTCACATAAACAAAAATATTAAGTGTTTTATGCCTGTGCCTGGAGAGTTTTATTCGAAACAATTTATTAATTGAGTGTTTAATATATATGCACGTACCTTATTATTCATTAATCAAGCATTTTTAAATATACATATATTACACTTGAGAACCCAATTATTTGTGATTTTAATGAGTAATCTATGTTATTACCCGTCCCAACAGAAAACAAAGAAGATAAAAATATGCATGTAATTATTGCATTATTATGTAATACTGTATATTCGGAATCATATATTTTCAAAGTTAAATCTTTCAATTAAAGATTTCATGGCAAAATGATCCGAAAAGAGAGAAGAGAAAACTATTATAACAAAAATAGAAAAGTTTGTATCATTAATATTTGCATAAACATTCAAAACCAATATTTATAACTCATTAGTTCATATACACATTTGTAGGAATAAATCTAAGAATATGACCATTGGCAACATCAAGAGCGCTATTATAATTGTAAAATAGTAATCAAAAGCATTACGAAAGACAGATAAATATAAATATCAAGGATATAAAGAATAATAATAATGTAAATATGATAATATAAATATGATGCTCACCGAAATGATAATTGTTATAATAATAATATATCAAATAAGTTTTATGTACAAATGGTCGTATATGATATATGATAAAATGAAATAAAGCGTATGCTCATCCGTATTTGCGGTCGGTCTTTAAAAACTACCTCCAAAGGCACCCCAGGATTTTCTACGTAAATTTCTATAATTTCTGAGATGTTATATTGATATTTAGGGTTAAGGTTAGGGGATAGGATATTTATTAGTCCTTTCGAATATCGATTTTTAGAAATATCCTGGGACAAAAAAAAAGATTCTATTCATAACCAGATATTTGTCATTTACGTAGAAATATTGGGTGTTCTTTGGCGTAGTTTCTTGATGGGATACATTACGTTTTATTATTTAATTGATTCATTAAAAAATAAATCAATATATTTAAATACTTCATTTCTAATTAATTTTATGAAATATTGACATTTTTTAAAGAATGTAATTTTATATAATAAAGTGTTACACTAAATTGTCTTTATTATTATGGTAGGATCTGATTTTTTTTGTTGGAAATATTATCCAGATGTAAATAAGAGGAAAAGATTAGTCTATAAATATATGCGCAGTGCTGTAAACCAACAAAGGATTAGCAAATAAAAATATACATGTAATTATTGCAATTATTAAAATTTTGTAAAATATTCGGATTCATATATTTTCAAATTTTAATTTTTCAATTAAAGATTTCGTGTCAAAATAAGGCAGAAAGAGAAGAGAAAAAACTATTACAACAAAAATAGATTGTATCATGAATATTGGCATAATCATTCTAAAACAATATTTATGATTATTAATCGTAACATATTAATATATAAATGTACCTCTTCCTATTAATACTACAAATATAGATATTTCCATTTTGGGAATTCCCCAGTTATTTATGAAAAATCTCCAAGAACTAATATATTTTTTTTTTTTGATGGACAAAGAAACTGCAGGAAGAAATCAAAGAGTTTCATACCCTGAAATAGAAATACTTTATTGTAAAAAAATCATTTAAATCGTTACAAATCCTGTTGAATAATAATTTTAACCTAGTTTGCAATTTACTTTTTTTTTTTTACAATAATATAATAATAACATATAATTTCGAATAATTTTGTGATTATTAGAGCACAGATCAATATTGAGTGTCTATTTATTTATTATTAATTCTTATTTTTACATAATACAAGTTTCATTAAGTGTCAACGCATATTCTTGCATGATGAAATGATGCAATAGGTTAAGTTCATAAAATTTTTATGAAGAAACTTGCTTGTTATTATAATACAAAGAAATCTGTTTAAATAAAAAAATTGAGCACAAAAATTTGCAATATATAATATTTTATAATTTATGCAAACTAAAAGTCTATTGTTGATCCGCAAACGGGTTTTTCTCAACCACTCGGCAACGCCATCATTCTACATGCCGTCGGCCGTCGAAATATAAAAAAGGAAATTTTGACAAAAGGAATTTATTGTTGTTAGGAAAAAGGAAATTTTGACAAAAGGAATTTATTGTAAATAGATTATTTAAGTTAATGTTGTTTTGACCCCAAAAATTTAATACATATATTTATATAATGTATCTGAAATTTGCATTGCATTGCAATATCACTAAGTTTTCGTCCAAGTTCTGTCGTGATACTGACCTCTCAATATTATATTACAGCATACACTCGGTATTAATTGTAAATTTATTTTAACATAACAAACAATAATAGCATAAAACAAATGATGATATATAATTGTTATATAGATAAAATTTATGTACGAATCGGCGTATACGCATACAATGTAAAAGAAGATTTTGATCGTATACCAACAATGGGATTTTGATTGTATATGAGTATATATGAAATATACATCTCACAATTTATTCTTGGCATCCCAGATTATTTTGGGAACCCAAATTATTATATAGTAATATATTAAATATATGCAGTAAAGTATATTTGTAAATAGGAATAGATAAATGGTTCAGGTATAATATCTAATGACAAAATTTTCTCAAATGTTGATATAAGAAATATTGAATGGACCCAAATCAACCAATATGTATTACTAAAAAGGCCGAAAATAAAATAAATGCTTAAAATGCTTTTGAGAGTTTCAAAAATTTAGTATATTTATTAAATATATTGTAATCATTATTAAAATCTTAAAATACAGTACATATTACAATAACAATAATTGGTTATGACAAAATCTTATTATATTCTATTTATAGACTATTTTACAATGACAGTTTTTTGTTGGGGCAACAACCATATATATTTACATAATGAATTATAAGACAATAGGCGTACGTATATATTTAAAACCACTAAATTAATAAATTATTTGGATTATAAAAAAATTAATATTAAAGATAATTTAATATATTAGAAAATAATGTAATTATTAATCAATTCCATAAAATATTGATCTTTTGTTTTGACATTTTAATTAAATAATGTTATACAATGATTTTGCTCATTCGATTTTGTCACAACTAATTATTGAGATACAAAGGGAAACTCGATAAGTCGGCCGCTTGATAAGTTGGCCACCTTTATAAGTCGGCCAATGATGGTCAGCTATTTTATCATTGTACCAATCTCGATAAGTTGGTTTTCACGATAACTCGGCCAAAATGACCCAGCTATCAGTGGCTGACTTATCAAGTTTGCCTATACAATAAAGCACTTAATACAAACTTTTATTAATCTTAGTTTTATATTATAATGAAATATTGATGCTTTAAATAAAAAATAATTTATTATTTGTTAATTGTCGATAAATTTTCGTTTAGAGTTATCTGTTTAATAAAAAAAAAATAGTTTCACTGAGCAAAGATGGGCCGTGCCGTAAATTGTAATTAATTTTAGCAAACTCCCTCATGCACTTTTTGTTTTATAAATTTTGTATTTATTTTAACAATAAAAATAAAAAAACAGTTAAGTTGTGATCTGTGAAAGAACGGCACTACTGCAGTATTGTACATTTACATGTCCAAGGTTTTTAACTGTCCAGCGTCCGCGCTGTCTGTAGCCTTAATTAGCTTAAAAATATATATCAAACCTTTACACATGTAAATATTGTACATGAACAACTTTAATTAATAGTTCAAAGCAAATTTTTTGATAAAATTTTACGTTATTTACGTTAAAAAAAGTAATTTTTGTTCAAGCACTTTCCAACGGTGTTCATGCATATATTATATGCAAGTCAAATCTATAGCTGCTACAAAGAAAAATATTTATTCGTCCAGTTGATTGATATTTTTTTAGTCAAATCAAATCATGTTCTTGTTTAACTTATCAGTAATTTAGTGCCAAAATTGTTTTCTGAACTTGACTTACCATCTACATTTTCTAAATCATTATTTTGCTATAATATCTTTAATGTGATGTAAAAATATTGAATGGAGACAAATCAGTATGCTATTAACTTTACCAATTCCCATTTACTGCATACATTTACTTACTGTTTATAGATAATTCATTAAAAAAACAATATTCTTATTGTTGCTGATTGCTATAATAGTCGAAAGTGACTGTTTAAAAATGATGTGCATAATATATTATTCAACAGAAAGACAGAAAGTTGTTTATGCACGGTTTTGTATTTTACATTCGTGGTAGTGATTTAACAAAATGATCGTGTAACATAAATGTTATATAAAACCCCTTCAAAAACAAAAAACCAAAATTCGGAAAAAATGTCACTTCTTATTAATCCCATAAATGTAGTAAAAGTCCCATTCCCTCCATCAATTAGTGTTGATAAAATCATACAAATGCATTTGAAAAATGGTATTAAAAATGTCAATAATACTATGAATCCATTCATGATCTACCGACGTGAATTTAATTACGTACACAAAAATTTTAACCTTTCATGTAAAAATGTGTCAAAATTAGCAAGTGAATCTTGGAAAAATGAGCCAGAATATATTAAACAACGTTACAAACAGATATCTAAAGAAGTTAAGAAACGCTTTAAAAAAATCTTCCCTACTCCTTTTTTCATTAACAAATTTGGAACAAGCAACCAAATTGGTACGAATGATGTTTCTCTAGAAACCAATCCTCCTATGGACAAAAACTCACCAAGCACTATTTATCAAAGTCACCAATTTATTAATATGGGTCCTACGAACCAGATCTCTCCAAAAATTACCTGTTATAATTCTCTGCTTATGAACACAGAACAAAATTCATTAGGCACTAAATGCTATAATTCTCTACCTTCAAACTCACCAGCTATTTATTATAGTCACCAATTTGTGAATATGAATATGGATCCAGATGCTACCTCCTACGGTCCAAACCCCTCTTGGATTAATTTCCCCGATTCTCCAAATATGGACCAAATCTCCAGATATTGACTTGTATTTTCTCTAGTTGTGAATACGGAGCAAACTCTCCTGCTATTATTCTTCATATTTGAGCATAGATTTCCATCTATTTTAATTTTCCATCCTTATATAAATACGTACTAAAAAACTACCTCTGATTATCCACTTCTAAATATAGATCAAACCCAACCCTGATGTTGATGATTCTCTTTATGCATATTACTATCCCTTTTATATTTTGCGAAAAACCTGACTCTTAGTTGTTTAATTGATATAATAATTTAATTTAAATTCATTTGACATGATCCTTTTAATTACAAAGCTTATTATTTCTTAAGTAAGTAGGAAATGCAAATTTTAGATAAAAAAAGTACATTTATGGATATTTTATCATATATGAGCTACATGCCGGCCGTCGAAATTCAAAAAGGAAATTTTAACAAAGGTAGGCCTATTTGTTGTAACTTTCCTTTTTGAATTTCGACGGCATACATTTAACTTTCAATATTGAATAATATTCTAACTATATTTGTCAGACAAACAATGGAACATTTATATCACCAGTACGCCAATTCAAAAAAAAAAGAAATTTCCTTTTTGAATTTCAGTACCAAAATAAAAATAAAACGCACATATAATATGGTAATATTTTTTATATATTAAAAAAGTCCTCGCGGCATCTAAATAATCAATTTAATTTATTTAATAATATCTATAATCACTACTATTAGTTTGCATTTTGATATCCACTTTATGTCGAACTACGAGTTGCTTATAGAAATAGGTTCCCTTATAGAAAACATTCACTTTCACATTTTTGGTGGAAATTTCCTAACCCACAAACACAATTTCCAATTAGAATAATACTAGAAACTCGTATGTTTAAATGGACAAAATTTTTATAAAACAATACAAATTTTCAATAAAAATAAATATCTGAATATTTATATCCAAGTGGTAATTTTTTTCAACTATTATCTTTGAATATGAAATATTTATTTATGATATATTTGGAAAATACAAGAAATAAATAAAAAAAGTAATATAAAAATTTCATTTTTATACTTTATATTGAGGCAACAAAATTTTAATATATAAAAAATAAGAATTTATTTCTATAGACAAATAAAATTGTTAAATAATTTAAATGACATCACTTATTACTCTACAAGTTATTGTTAGGAATAGAATTTTTAATATAAACATATAAATCTAATTTATTTATAAATAAAATTTATCAATCCGGGTTGTATTTCGTTTGTTTCGTTTTGTGTTCTTTATAAAACTCTTTTATAATCAAGAACAAATATAATGGATAATAAAATATTTAAGTAATCGAAAATCTTACCATAAAAATACGATACAATAAGAAAGGAACCTGGTTTTAAAAAAATGTAAATTTTCATTAAACCATTTGGTGCGAAATCTTTTCTGTGAAAAATAATTTTGGAATTAATTCAAATGAGATTATTTGAATACCTAATTTAATGAATTAATCAAATAAAGAATCATTTGAAATAATTTTCAAAAATGTTATTACTTAATAAAAAATTCGTAAATTTTACAAAGAAATGGAGCCATAAAATTTTGAAATTTTTGAAAATCAGATATAGAAGGAATCGGCAAAGCCGACATGCTATTAACCGAAAAAACCTTGTAATCTTTTATTAGCGCTTGATTTGTTGTAGAATCTCATCAGGTAAATTATATCCAAATTTTATGATTTTTGTTCAGTAAATTCTAAATATAAATCATTATAGGCAATCTACTTTCGCCTGCTCAGCAAAAAAAAAGGATTCAGAAAATGAAATACATATTGTAATTATTTAATTGTGAAATCATCTATTTTCAAAGTTTAATTTTTCAATTAAAGGTTCATCTGCATTTCATGACAAAGTAAGTCAGAAAGAGAAGAGAAAGTAAAGAGAGAGAAAGATAGAAAGAAAGTTGTTACAACAAAAAATAATACCATAACAATATTTATGATTATTTGAATTAACTTACTAACCATTATTGGTTAAGATCACTCTATAGTGATATAAATAACGATGCCGAATTCACAATTTACTACTCTACTTACTATCTATACTTTACTGCATACCGAATATTTCAATACGTACTTTAATGTAATATGTAATAAACTGAGCTTTATTATAAATTAAATTCTTTTATTCTTTATTATTGAATGTATATCGAAACAATGCATAACACAAATATTTATATATGCTACAATTATTCATTCAAAAAAAAAAAAAATCGTCTTCCGCTTTTCCAATAATAATAAAATTTCCATGTTACTTAAAATATCACTTAAGTTATATATAAAAGAAAGCGGGCACAGGTATAGTTGGTGCCGAAATTCAAAAAAGGAAATATTAACAATGAACGCTATTGTTAATATTCCCTTTCGGAACCACAAGTCATTCACGCAGCAGTCCTGTTTGATGGATTACTATAAAAAAATTAATGCGGAAAAGACGTTTTTGATAATACACTTAAACGGCGTGAGTTATGTCATTTAAAGTCATTTAAAAAAGCGATTAATTACATTAATTACATTAATTACAATATTTTATTAAAAATTAAAAAATAAAAATAAAAAATAAAAAAATCTAATTTGGCGCATAAATATTGGTTAATATTACAGAGAGATATAGAAATTAGTTAACGGCATTATTGGTCATGTAATTATATATTTGACATTCATTTTATCTATTTCTTCTTTAATTTCTTCTATTCCTTCCATTTTATTAATTTCTTCAGTTTCTTTAATTTCTTCTATTCCTTCCATTTTATTAATTTTTTCAGTTTCTTTAATTTCTTTAGTTCTTCGGAGTTCGGCAGTTTTTGCTAGTGTATCCAACGGTCCTAAAATAATAGGTTAGACTAAATATTATATTTATCTTTATTAAGCCAATAAAAATCGGTAAAAAAATTTACCTTTCATCGTTTTTATTACGGTATTATATTTATTTTTCACTTGATTTGGCGTACAGCGGGGGAGGGGCCTAATTTTTTTACCACTCGCTTTGTTAAGCTCATTTTGCAAATCAATCACCTCGTTAAGATTATCGGCTATTTCTTTCCAGCCGATTGTTTCATTATTTACTTTATAATCAATTATTGAAAGGGTTTGGTTTTCTGTAAAAGTAAATTTTTTTTGTTTTTCGGGCAAACGTACTACAAATATCAAATATATTAATATAATTTTAGTATAAATAATAATATTTTTTATTTATTTGTTTATTTATTTATTTATAGGAATTAAAGATACCTTTAGGATCGATGTAATTTCTATATCTAAAAAGAATTAATAACCCATTAATTAATAAAATAAATAATTAAAGGTAATAATCTGATGAATATCAAATTGCATTGCTTACCTTTCTTGTAGCGCTTTTTTATCTCTGTCACTCCTGCCTCTTTTCTCGATAAATTGTTCGTATATACTATTCCAATTTATTTCGGATGATTTTTTCCCCATTTCTCCCGTTTCTTCCAAAATATTTTTCAGTAAATTTTCCTCCTAAATAAATCAATATTATAATTAGTATCACGAATGATTTTGATTCCAAGCATCTTTTATATAATACGTACATTCTCATCCCAGTGTCGACTAATGATAAATTTTACTAAAGGTAAATAAATATAGTATTATTTTAGTATTGATATCATGAATTTTTTTTTTTTTTGAATTATTATTACCTTTTCTATAATTCGATACATTCTGTTGTTGCATCAGTTTTTTGCACCTAAAAATTAAATATATTCATTAATTAATTTAAAAGATTTACAATAATAATTTGATATACAAAAAAGAAAGAATTGTTATTTTACTCGTTCTGTATAAATCTTCTATATTTAAAATTTTTTTCCTTGCCAATTTTCGACGACATATTTTTTTCCTTGTCAATTTTCGACCATATATCTTTAAAGGATATTTCGAATATTCCGGAATTTTCGGTTGTAAATTCACTAATAAGGTTTGATAATTTGCTCGTATCCTAAATAAATTATTAAATAAATTATTAAAATTAATTATTAAATTAATTATTAAAATTATTAAAATAGATAGATTATTATTATAATAGTGTATAAAGATGATCTGCACTGGTTGCAAGAGGAAACAAACCTCATTTGACAATATAAACGTGGAATTATTCTCTGGAATATTATTATATTGAGATATGGTTCAGAATTTTTTTTTTTTTTTTAGAACTAGACGGATATCAAATCTTGAGAGGGTGATATTTATATTATTCCTTTTGGGATAAATAAAGGAATCAAGTTATAAAACTTGTTTTTAATACGATTCAATACTGTGTAGTGGCCCAGTATTTTTGTTATTAATATTTGCCAATTTTGACCAATAATAATTTTCATTACAGATCACAATGTGTGACTGTAGCAGATTCTCATAACAAGTTCTGCCCAAATTAGGATGTTTTATTTTATAAAATAAACGAGCTGTTGCATTATCTTCCTAATGTTTTGTTCTTGTTATACCCACAGCATTAACAATGATATTATTTGTGTTGTTATCTCATTGTATTGTCCAATAAAACAGAGGGTATTCAAATGGCAAGGCATTTTTGGAGACAAAGATTTTTTTGACATGAATCAAAGGGTTATTTATGTCATTTTTTTTTTATTAATAAATATTTACTCAAGATCCTGCCCAAAAATAGGATGTTTTATTTTAATCAATAAATAATTTAATTTAAAATTTATTATTAATAATCTTTATTATTTAAAAATCAACAATATTCTCAGTAAATAATTATGAGTAAATGTTATAAATGATTTGGTTTAAAAGGAGCGGAATTATTATAAAAGTCCTCCAAATATATACACAGCTTCCAACCGATAGACCAAATGTTGTTGCATTTGTTATATTTCATAATCTGGAATTTTATGAAATATTTCTTAAGATCTGATCTATACTATTGATAAGAAATTTTTGATTAAATTTGGATTTTTTAAGATTATGTTCTGGCTTAAACGATTCTTCTATAACTTATTAGTGAAAATTTCAACAGAATATTTATAGCGCCATTTTTATACTCCAAAGATGATCTTTTTTCGAAAAGTTGTAAATATCACCAATAACAGAATATGCTAAAATTAAAAGTTCTTTCGATTATTTGTTGCATAATATTATTAAAATAATATCCTATTTCGATCCACATCGGCACCAATGTTTTACATATTAAAATAGCTCGTGCTATAAGATTTAACTGTATAAGTTTCGCGTATGTTGCAACATAAAATTGTCTAATCAGTGAATGTCAAATTTTTAATGAAAGCTGAGGTTTTTCTGCTATAATATTTTCTACACGAATTTAGTTGTACTGAAAACAGACTTCAAATAAGCGACTTACCCTATAGTCCTCAAGAATAGTTATGATAACGTAAGATTGTTAAAAGTCTCAAAATCTAAGTTTATTATAAAATTAAATTCTTTTTATTCTTGAATGTACGCCGAAAAAAATGCATAACACAAATATTATATATGTTATAATTATTCATTATAAAAAAATTGTCTTCCGCTTTTCCAATAATAATAAAATTTATGTGCCACTTAAATTATATATAAAAAAGAACATAGTCACGCGTGATTTATGCCGATTAATTAATTATTTTATTAAAAATTAAAAAATAAAAATCAAAAATTTAATTTTGCGCATAGATATTGATTAATATTACAGAGAAATATATAAATTAAAGTTAAAGACATTATTGGTTACATATAAGTTATATATTTTAAATTTAATTTATCCATTTTAATTTCTTCAGTTTCTTCGATTTCTTCCGTTTTATTCATTTCTCGCTAGTGTATCTAACGGATCTAAATAATAGATTAGAACTAAATATTATATTTATCTTTATTAAGCCAATATAAATCGATAACAAATTTACCTTTCATCGTTTTTATTACGGCATTATATCTTATTTTCACTTGAATTGGTGTACAGCGGGGGAGGAGTTTAATTTTCTTATCACACGCTTTGTTACTCATTTTGTATATCAATCACCTCGTTAAGATTATCGGCTATTTCTTTCCAGCCGATTTTTCCATTATTTGCCTTACAATCAATTATTAAAAGGGGTTGATTCTCCGTAAAGTTATGTTTTTTTGTTTATTTGGCAAACGTACTACAGATATTAAGCATGTCAATATAATTTTAGTATAAATAATAATATTTTTTATTTATTAGAATTAAAATATACCTTTAAAATCTATGTAATTTCTATATCTAAAAAGAATTAATAACCCATTAAATAATAAAATAAAGAATTAAAGATAATAATTTGACATGAATGAATATCAAATTGCTTACCTTTCTTGTAGCGCTTTTTTATCTCTATCACTTCTGCCTCTTCTCTTGATAAATCGTTCGTATATACTATTCCAATTTATTTCGGATGATTTCTTCCCCATTTCTCCCATTTCTTCCAAAATATTTGTCAGTAAATTTTCTTCCTAAATAAATCAATATTATAATTAGCATAGCGAATGATTTTGGTTCGATTAACGATCAAGCATCATTTACATAATACGTACATCATCTTCCCAGTGTCGGCTAATGATCAACTTTTTTGTTAGGTAAATAATTAGCATGATATCATGAATCTATTTGAATTTTTTTTTATTACCCTTTCTGTAATTTGATACATTCTGTTGTTGTACCAGTTTTTTTGCATCTAAAAATTAAATATTTATTAATTAATTTACAATAATAATTTGACATAGAAAAAAGAAAGAATTATTATTTTACTTGTTCTGTACAAATCTTCTATATTTAAATTTTTTTTCCCTTAGCAAATTTTGACAATATATCTTTAAAAGAGATTTCGAATATCCGGATTTTTCGGTTGTAAATTCACTAATAAGTTTTGATAATCTGTCCGTATCCTAAATAAATTATTAAATTATTATTATAATAGTGTATAAAGTTTCTTTGTCATGATCTGCACGCGTTTTTATCTGATTGCAAGAGGAAACAAACCTCAATTGACCATGTAAATAGGGGATTATTATCTGGAGTATTATTGCATTGAGACATGGTTTCAGAATTTTTAGAACTAGACAGATATCAAAGCTTAGAAGGGTAGATTGGGCGATATTTATATATGTACGAAAACTCCATTTAAATTTTTATTATTATTTAAAATTAAATTAACAGAGGAGAACCTAATTCAAGCTATACTTTTTGGGAATAAAAGAATCAAATTATAAAACTTGTTTTAAATAACATTCATATTTCCTTTTAAAAATTTAACTCAGGGTTCAAAATACTGTAAATTGTACTATTTTACAAATAATTTAAATGATAATAAAAATTTAGAAATATTAATTGATAAGTGTAATGGGACAAAAATAACACAGTATTTTTGGACAGTGACAATAATATACTGTATACTAGAAAACGGTGAATCTGGAGCAAATTATTAATATTTTCCGGCGACACAAATTTTGTTATCTTCAAAATTACCACTAATCCTAGACATACGCTACGCTCCAGACAATTAACTATATATTTACTGTATATTTACTGCAGATTAGAACTTTTATACTACTCAATATTAAATGTCAGAAAGAAAACTTAATGCCAATAAGCTTTAATAAATTTCATTTGATTTTTGATTTTATTTATTTATTTTTTTGCGGAAAATAAATTCCATGATTTTTATAAGTGTAAAAAATTAAAAAATTAATTCCCATAACAAGTTCTGTACAAAATAGGATAATAATTATTAATTTGTTAATTTAATTTGATAATGATAATGATAATTAAAAATAATAAAATAAATATGCCCAAATCTAGGATAAATTTACTCTTAAAAAAATTCTATTTTAAAAATATAATTGTTTATTTTTTAAAAAAATTTGAATTTACATATTTAACGACTATTTATTTTTTTTTTAAAAAAAAAACAAATTAATAATACTTCTTTTATGAACATGAAAAAATTATCGACTTATTTAATGGATTTAAGCAAGCGGTCCTTTTTTTCCGATAAGATTGTGATGACCAATTTTATTACCATATTAATGTCAATATTAAATATTATTGTTTTAAGCAAGCTTCTATGACAACGGAAAATTTACGTAATGTTGCTGCCACTATAGATGCGATGCAGTTAGCTAATAAATAATTACAAAAACAAGATTGACATAAATAAGATTGAGGTACTCACATGCACCCTCCTCTATCTCTTTTATTATTATTTTCCTCTCTTATTTATATTGATTTTTTATTCTCTCTATCGATATTTTTTTTTTAATTTTAGAGTATTCAAGATGATGTGGAAGATTTGCTAACGATATACAGGAAACGCTCGGGCGAACGTACGGCGTTCCCGATGAATCGGAAGCGGGTAATTTGAAAAAGTTGATTAAATTGATTAATTCATATACGCACCCAGATGTATATTATAAGAATAAATGAAAATTCAATAAATTCAATAAATTCATTTTTTTAGAATTGGATGCTTTGGGAGATGAATTAAATTTCGAAGAGGAAGAAGAACCTTCATATTTACAAGAGACATCTGATCTGCCACTTGGAGAATTAGAAGGCAGTGCAGAGGTAATTATATTTATAATTATGAAATTAAAAGAATTTTTAATAATAATAATAATTATTATTATTATAAATAACTCTGTCAGATATAAACAATAATAATATTTTGATTTAATATTTATAATTAAATAGATATTGAATGAACTTGGATTACCAGAAACTCCAATGAAAAATGCTGCATGAAAATTTTATTATTTTTCATATTAAAAGTTTTATATATTTATTAATTTATATATATTACCCTGTAAAAAATGTATATAAAAATAATAAAAAATCAATTATTTATATATTATTCCTTCATTATTTCTATTACTATTCCCACATTATTATTATTACTACCATCATTTTAATAATAGTATTGAAAACCTTTAATAAATTAAAAATAAATAAAATTAAATATCTAAAAGTCCTTTATCTAAACGATATTTAATAATATCCTCGATGCTAATCAATTTTAATCCATGTTCATCAGCAAGCTCGCGACAATCATCACGATGTGTCATCGAACCATCATCTTTAACTATTTCACCAACAGGTTGTAAACCGGCCAATTTACATAAGTCTAAAAACAATAAAAAATAAGTTTGATAAATCAATCAAATATTGTTGATGAAACTTTATTAATGTAAATCTTTGTTAAAATACATAATTTTATTTGATAACTTTACCTATTGATGCTTCAGTATGACCAATCCTTTTTAATATACCACCTTCGGCATATCTTAATGGAATTATATGACCAGGTCGATTGAAATCATCAGGATTATCGATTTCGGGATTTGCTAGTGAACGTGCCGTCAAAGCACGAACATGTGCCGATACACCAGTTGTCGTGCCTCCTTAGTTTTATACTTGATAATGCTTTATATCTATATCTATTATCATCTATTATCATAAATACGTAATATATATAATAAAACTCACTATGACTATAATCTACAGATATAGTATATGCAGTCTTCATTTTCTCGGTATTATGTAACACAATTAAAGTAATTGTAATTGATCTAAACGTTCAGGTGTAGTTGGTAAACAAACCAATCCACTTTTTGTATTTTTTTTAAAAAAAAAATTAAAATGAAATGAAAATAAAAATAAAATAAAATTATTTATTGAATCGAGGAAATCGATGTCAAAAAAAAAAAATATCATTTTATAAAATTTAAATATTTACCCAGTGTGTCGAACCATGAATGCCATCTTTTCTGTAATCATTTTTTCTGCGGCAATCATTAGATCTCCTTCATTTTCACGGCCTTCATTATCGACTACCAACAAAAATTTGCCTTCCGCTATTAAATACAATTATGATTAATATTTAATTGTGATTAATATATAATTGTGATTAACATATAGTTAATATATAGTGTTAATATGTAATTAATATATAATTAATATGTATATAAATTATTTAAAATTACCAAAATCTTTAATAGCGTCTTCGATAGAATCAAAACGAACTTTTGATTCTTCATTCGTAAATTTTATTTTATTTTCACAAATTATTTCATAATTCTCATGAAAACTATTTGAAGTAGAAATTTTATTCTGATCTTTATCCATTATTTTGATTTTTATTTTTTGAAATATTAATTTTTTTTTTTTAAAAAAAAAAAAGGGAAGAAAAAGTGAGGTTTTTATGAATGAATTTTTTCCAAGAGATGTATCATCTCGTGTTCTAAATTCTAAAAAAAATTCCAAAGCTGATTACGTAAATGTAAATGACAATCGTCAATATAAATTTAATGCTAAATTACATAATACCTTAGATGTATTCTTCTCTTAACAAGTTACAGCACGAAGAACTTTTGATGTCATGTCTATATCATATGATAAATTTTTAAGTGGTTCTATAGTTTTAATTTGTTTTTTACACTTTTTATTTAATCCTTTTTCATATACCTATAATTTATGGTACAAATAAGTCTCAATTAAATCACATTTTTCAGAAATTTGCTCTGAGGTAACAGGAGACCTAGAGTGGTATAAAAGCCTATGGTACATTCTTTTGATATAATGGGGTTGTAATTTGAATGAAACATTGATTATTAGTTTGTGCACAAAAAGTTTATAGATAAAAATTAAGAATAAAAAAATAGCTATTAATCATTACGAAATAGTAGATAACAAAAGTCTAAAGTACCAGCCCTCAGAGATATCTCAGATAATTTTATTTTAAATAAATATATATGAATAATTTATATAATAAATAGGTACAGTATATTAATCAGATAAATAGATATGTGTATTATACATTGTTAATTTGACGTATTTCTTCTCGAACCACCTATAAAAACTGGTAATGTTGTGGTGAGTTCTGATGCACATAAGCCAGAGGGGCGATAATAATATTCAATGAATTTACATTGTATTATTGTACATGCTCTTATAATTTTTCCAACTTCTCTTGCACGTTCAACCTTTTTGATAACATTCTGCATCCACAATCCATATCTGTGTAATGCATACTCATTATAGAAATCATATCCTGAAATAGATTTTTGCAGTAAGTACTCATCATAATTTACTCCACAAAAAGAATTTCCAGTACAATGAATAGCCCAATGCTTCTCTATTCCTATGTGATTATAATTTCCAATATTTTTGGTTCGTTTTCTGGTATATACCAATTGATTACAAGAGAAGCAGATAGCAATTCCAATTTCAGGTGCATAGCTTTTATAAAATCCATTAACTTCAGACCAATATGTTATTAATTTTCTGGCTCCGAGGTATTTTTTGCTATTAGTAGGTAGGAGATTATTCTTTCTGAAATACTGTAAGCGAGGCCAAATTCGGTTCATCTATTCAGTAGAAGTCTCATTTGATGAAACAATACCCATCTCCAGATATTCATTCCATTCAGCATCGGTACAATTGGTTCCACGTCTTTCATTTAAGCTAGCCATTTAATAAAACCTATTTATAGTGTTTATAGAAGTTATGTATATGTGATTTGTATTGTGTTTAGGGATTTAAACCTATAAGATTTGGTTTTTTATTTATTCTTAAAATGCGATTCATTTTTTGTGTAGAATTTGAATAGAAGTCTATATATTAATTCTCAATGCGATTAAGAATAACCTTTGTAATATTGCCAGAGCTCATAATGGTTTCTGTCTTTCAGATACATATATTAATATTTCTATACCATTAAGATGGAAATGTTCTAAAGATCATGAATAGGATGCTCCACTTGATAGAATAAAATATAAAAATACTTGGTGCCCTGTTTGTGCAGGTCGGCATCCTTTTCATCTTGAAATTGCAAAAAAAATGATATAGATAGAGTCGGATTGTGTCTCTCTATCCAATGTACAGCTACCAAGGAATTATTACAGTGGAGATGTTCCAAAGGTCATGAATGGTCAATAACCTACAATAATGTTATACACAATAAAAATTGGTGCATAAAATGTTCGCATAGAAAGCCTTGTACTCTTGAAGATTCTATAAAAGTCGCACATGCTAGAAATGGAAATGTCTTTCTGAAAAATTTATTAATGGTGAGTAACTATTATTATGGTGCTGTGCTGTAAGTCATGAATGGAAAGCTAGTCTCGAGAGTGTAAAAAATAAAAACACATGGTGTCCACATTGTGTAGGAGGTAGACCCCGATATACCCTTGAAGATGCTAGAAAAATTGCGCATGATAGAAATGGGAAATGTCTTTTTGAAAAATATATTAATAGCATGACAGCTTTATTGTGGCATTGTTCTAAAGGGGATGAATGGAGTGCACCATTTAATAGTATTAAAAATGCAAATTCATACTGTCCCCATTGTTCTGGACGATATGCTTGTGATATTGATCAAGCCAAGCAAATTGCATTTAATCGGAATGGTAAGTCTCTTTCTATCTCGTATTTTAATAACTATTCAGATTTACTATGGAAATGTGCCTAAGGACATACATGGTGTGCACCGCTTCGTGAAGTTAAAAATCAAAATAATCGGTGTCCATTTTGTCAGAATAAATATGAAAATTTATGTCGTGAGATTGTTTCTAAATTTTTGGAACCATCTTCAGAAATTCGCTGACCAGATTTCTTGAAAATTCCAGAGCATCCTAAGGGATTAGAACTTGATATTTATTACCCACAATATGGTTTAGCTATAGAAATACAAGGAGTACAACACAAAAAATATATCGAATTCTTACATAATGGTGATCCCAATAATTTTATTAAACAGCAAGAGCGAGATCAACTCAAGAAAGAATCGTGCGAAGAAAACTGGATTGCTTTAAGGTATGTCTGGTATTATGAAGATCCATATATAGTTATTCCAGAACATCTTCAAGAATTGGGTCTTATTAAGTAAACTTAAAACTTTAAATTTGCATTTCAATAAGCTGATAGCTATTTCAGTACTTTATTCAGAATAAGAATAAGAATTTACCAAATAGTACGACAAACAATTCTAATAACATATTTGAAACCATACCATTTTTTATGTAAACATGTGTACTAATACAAATATTATTTTTTAAAATTATCCAATGCAGAAAATTTCATGCCCCGATATGTTATCTTAGTGTCTCAAGATAGAGAAGCATCTCAATCAAAAACGTGTGATCTTTCAGAAACTTCAAATGTATTGTCCTTCTAAATTCTACTACATATACTCTCCCAACAATTGGATACAGAACATTATGATACGCTTCATATAATCTTTTGATAGCATTGTCCATTGTTTGCATGCGATTGAATGCAAAAACGGAATTTGATTGTGGTGGGGCTTCGACGTTGGGAAATGGAATTGGGGCATATAATGGTGTACCTCTGATTACTGGTCCAAAAAAAAAAAAAATAAAAAATCAGAGAAAATTTTGAAAAAGATAATATCTCTATTAATGTTTACGGTTATACCTTGGGCAACATTATTTGGTGTGATATTTCGGCGAAGAAGACCTGGTTGATTGTATTCAATTATTAACAAAGGGTCACTACCAAAAATTTCATCATCATCATCTTTATGTCTTTCAAGGATAATATCACGCCAAAATGAAAGAAGTTTCTTTGTTTCTTCACTAAATTCACTTGGAAATTGCATTCTTTCACAGTAACAGTATAATTTATACCTACAGATTATAATTATTAACACGAACCAAATGGGGCGAAAAAGGATTAAGGAATAAGAAATGTCGATTGTTAAATAACTATAAAAGGCGAACGGAAACAAAGGTACAAAGTTGATTCTTGTCAATTTTGGATAAAGTAATGCATGAAAGGATTATAATCGGATGATGTAAAGATGATGTATATAAATGTAAGGATGATGATCTATTTCGGCATTATTCATGTAATAGATGTTCAATTTCAACCCCTGACTATTTTGTGTAACATATCTTACGATATATATCAAATTTCCCACAAACCGTATCGTTTATTATCATATCTAAATTCTTCAACTTGCCGTTGAAATTCAAAAAAGGAAATTTTAACAAGTGATTTATTGTTGTAACTTTCTTTGACGGGATACATATTAACTTTCGTTAACGTAGTCAGTGTGTGAATAATATTCTAACCATATTTGTCTGACAAACAATGGGATAAAATTTCCGCTTATTAGCTTTAAAAAAAAACGCATTGATTAGGTTTCGGCCTATTATCATCGATTTGCAGTACGACAGAGTCAAAAATAATAATTTTTATGTATATGTCTCCGCAGCATCTAAACTTGTAATTATAATAAGATAATTCTTATATTAATATTTTCTTATTTATATATGTAATTAAGCTATCTTCAAAAGAAACAATTCAAAATATTCCCGAATTTTCAATTTCAAATGTGAGTATAAGAAAATCATTTGAAAAATTACGCATATGGATCAATAACTTTTATTACTTTACTAATTTATTTTATAAAAATACATTTTATCAATCCGGTTATATTTCGTTGTATTCTTTATTTTTACCCCCAAAATCTAGTTAATTCGTAATTCGCGATGAACGGAAAGAGATCTACATAATCTCGTTCCGGAATAAGAATATCACAAGAACTATCTTATAAAAGTCACTTTCTTCATTGAATTCACAAAAAGCAATGGTTCTGATTCAAACGTATTTTTAGTTTCAAATGATAACATCAATAAAGAGCCTTTTTTAACGATTAAAAAATTAATTTTATATATAATTAGTAAAAGTTGCCCCGAAATCCATTATATAAATCCTTTCCGTTTCTAGCTAATCACGAGTTAAATACATAACGAATAATAGAAAGACTTAATATCCATCACAAAAATTTTAAGTCAAAAATAATTTTGGAATTAATTCAAATAAAATTTTTTGAATACCTAATGTAAATTTAATCAAATAAAGATTCTGTACTGTTTATTGGGTACAGTTTCCGCGATGCGTTATATTTCTTTCCAGCAACCTTTTGCTCAGTTTGATCAAAGGGGACCGTCAGTTGTCTTGGGAAACTAGGATAATGAGGTTAGTTGAATGTTTAATAGATTATAGCCAGTTTTTTTTTAAATGTAAAATCTTATTCATGTATTTTTGTTCCATTTATATCTTTCTCCATTTTACTATCTGTTTCATGAGATTCAACCTTTCTCTTTTTCTTTGTCACGATAGATGAATCTTTGTTTTCATTAGATTGTCAGTCATTTAATTGAAAATAGTTATACTAGATTAATAATAATCTTGGTAAAAAACCTTTGAAAATGAACTCAGTATATCATTACTTAAAATTGGAGAAGGTCATATTTCTACTATTGTTGGATTAAAAGAAGATATTATTCAACTTCCTGAGAATATTATCCTGTCATCCCCAGAAATCAGTGATCTGATTCACTTTGTTTACAATGACTTAACTACATGTTCTGATCCTCAACATTAAATTGAACGTGGTATATTCACCCCAAAGAATAAAGATGTTACAGTTATTAATGATATTATGATAGCCCGATTTCCAGGTGAAACAGTTAAATATCTTAGTGCAAATTCAATTGAACAATCTGATTCAGATATGAATAGCTCTGAACATGATTCTTTAACTATTGGAGGTCTTCCTTCACGCAAATTAACATTAAAAGTGGAAACTCCAATTATGCTATTACATAATATCAATTCTCATGAGGGTCTTTGTAATGGAACAAGGTTGATTTGTCATCCTTGCAAAAACATTCATAGATGCGGAAATTATTACTGACAAAAATGCTGGAACTCATGTTTTTCTTCCTTGTATCACTTTGTCACCTTCAGTATAGATTTGCCTTTTATTCTCAAACATCGACCTTTGCAATGACTATTTATAAATCTCAAAAACAAAAAATTAACAAATTTGGATTGTACCTACCAACACCTGTATTCTCTCATGGAAAATTAGATGTTGCATGTTCACGGGTAACCTCTCGAAAACACAAAATGTTGTGTATCCAGAAGATTTTTATTAAATATTATTATTATGTGTATATATTGTATAATAATTATGTGTATATTTTAATATATATTAAGTGAAATTTTCATTTCCATTACTTGCTACTATATCAAAAATATCAAAAAAATATAAATAAAATAATAATAATAGTAGTAGTAGTACTCACGGAGCTTCCAACTGCACATTCACCAAAAAAAAATTAAATACAATAAATAATAATAAAACAATAATATTAACATAGTAGTATTCACGGAACTTCCAACTGCACATTCACATTGACAATATTTCATTTTCGCCCCTATTATATCAAAAAAAATAAATAATAATAAAATAATAATAGTAATAGCTCACGGAACTACATTTGCTTCATTTAAAATAATATACTTACCAAATAAAGATTTAAAATATCATCTGACTTTTCGAAAATTAAACTTACAGATCTTCAATATAAGTTTATTATGTGACAACGGTTATTTTCATCTGTAATTTATATTGATATTTTAAAGGTAGGAAGGGATGCAATTTTATACAAAAAACAAAAAAGCGTCTTTCATATAATAAAATTATCAATTTTTTATAACTCAAAATAATTATCTAAACTGGAAGAATGAGCAAGAAAGAGAATTTAAAGATAAAGAGAAGAAATAAAAATGAAAATTCAATATTTATGTATTATACATTCAAGCCATTGGCACTACTATAATTGTAAAATAGCCTGATTTCTGCGAGTTGACCCCCCAAATAATTAATTAAACTGGCTAAACTGGAAAAGAAAAGAAATAAAAATGAAAATTTAAATATGATAATATTTATTTATTATACATTCATTGGCACTACTATAATTGTAATAACATCAATTATTTATGATTTGATGATTGAATTGAAGTTAGAGGAATATCTATATGGCAACTACAAAAAAAAAAAAAGATTTATTCTATATATGTGAGTGACCATAGTTAATATAAAAAAAAAAAGGACTGAATATAAAAAAAAATAGGTTAATTTCAACAATCAATATATATACTGTATATATATGAGTGGCCTCCGCAAACAAAAAAATTCGAAATTTAATCAAAATGTCTCTTCCTATTGATATTACAAACGTAGTAAAAGTCCCATTTCCCCCTTCTATTAGTGTAAACGAAATTGTAAAAATTCACTTAAAAAATAAAATCAAGAGTGTGAATCAAACTATGAATTCATTTATGATTTATCGAAAAGAATATAATCAAATAGTTGCAAAATTTAATCGTTCAAGTAAAGATGTATCTAAATGTGTCAGCATTTCATGGAAAAATGAGCCAGATCATATCAAAGACTATTACCGACAGATGGCAGAAAATGTAAAAAATTGTTTCAGAGAAAAGGTGCCTCTTTGTTTTACCAATAGCAATCAAGTAGATAATACAAATGATAATCACGTCCCTTTAGATACTTCACTTAATACGAATCAAAACTTTCAAAATACTAATTATCCGTTTTTTAATATGGATCAAGACGCCATCTATTCGAATCCTATTGTATCCAACAATTTTAAAAATGAATGTCAGAGATGTCTGGATATGGATGAATATGAATTTATGAACTATCTTTCTGAAAATTTGGCATTAATTTATAAGGAAATTATTCGATCGTTATAATTCTCTACTTATGAATACGGAGAAAGATTCGATCAAAAACTCTCTCCACTCTCGAATATTTATTAAAACCAACCAATTATTGTCCGGAGCATACATTTTCAGGTATACTAAAAATCAGCAAAAATTTGTCCGTCTGTCACCCACGTGATCAATGCATCCAATCGATCAATAATATTAATAAGTAATATATATCTAATATATATAATAATTTTATCAAATAATTTAGCTCCGGACTTACAACAGTTCCTGTTTCCCTAGTATATGATAATTGCATGTATTGTCTTTCTCTTATGACTTAACAGTACGATTTACATCTATAGTCTTTTTTTATATATATGTATGTTGTGCCTCAGATCGGCATTGCGTCAGATATCATTTAATAATTAGACAAAATAAGTTTCAAACTTAAAGTATAAAATATATAAAGTATATTCAATTTTTTTAATTAAATATATCATGTATATATTTTAACTCATTATAATTATTAAAAATATTCTATAAATCTATAATTATAATGTAAAACTAAGATTAATAATAAAATCTATTAAATAATAAATACTTGTTTTAAGTGTTAAAACTTTCATACCTTTTGAAAATCTCTATGCTAACAAGTCCAGAAAAAAAAACTTCTAGTTCATAGTTCATATAAATACCTAAAAAATGCATAATATTTATTTTCTATTATTATCATATAATGGTAAAAAATCAAAATGATTTCAACCGATTTCGTGGTAATTCAATTACTAAGTTCGAGAAAATTTTTTACATGTCACAGGATCTGCCTCATCATTTATTGCTCAAAAAAAAAAGGTATTAAAATAAAATGGACACATTTTGATATCTACGTGACAACCTTTTCTATAATTCGATACGTTCCGTTGTTGAACCAGTTTTTTGCATCTTAAAATTAAATATTCAAGTTTACTTGTTCTGTACAAATCTTCTATATTTGAAATTTTCTCCCTTAACAAATTGACCATATCTCTTTAAAGAATATTTTGAATATTCCGGATTTTTCAGTTGTAAATTCACTAATAAGTTTGATTATTTCATATCCTAAATAAATTATTAAATAAATCATTAAAATAAATTATTAAAATAAATAAATTATTGTTGTAATGATGTATAAAGACATGGCTTCAGAATTTCTTTCTTTTTATAATTAGACGGAATCAAAGCTTGGAAGGCGATATTTATATTTGTACGAAAACATAATTAAATTTTTTATTATATTGTTATTTAAAATGAAATCCTCATTCAAGCTATACTTTTTGGGAAAATTAGATAAATAAAAGAATCAAGTTATAAAGCTTGTTTAAATATCATTTACAAATGGGTTATAAAATAAATAAATAATAACAAGTTATCATACCTGTTATACCACAACATTAAAACAATGAAATTATCGGTCTTGTTATTCCATTGTGCCGTTAATTTTTCGTGTTACAATATAATGTAAAATTAAAATTAAAATATAATTATTTTTTATTAATAAAAAATTATAATAACATAATATCAAGAAAATTTCCATTGTTTTTTATTACATCATTAATCAATTTTTATTAATAATTTATCACAAAAAAATTGTTTTTAATGTTTAATCTCGATAACTTGATAACAATAACGTCATAAAATTAATCCGTTATAACGAAATAACGTCACAATGTTTCTATAGCTTTTAATGTTTATTTATTACTGACTTTAATAACGTCATAAAATTAATCCATTGTTTGATAGATCGCATACTTATATATTTCTATTGATTTTAATATTTATTTATTATTGACATCTATAACATCATAATTGTTTGATTATTCTCGCGCTCATATATTATATCATTAATCAATTCTTTTAATAAACTTATAGCAAAATAACGTCACAAAAATTAATATTTCCATTGTTTTTAATATTTATTTATTATTGATCTCGGTAACGTTATAAAACCTAATCCATCGTTTGATCGATCGCGCGCTCATATATCTTGTCATTAACCAATTTCTTTATAGATAAAATCATAACAAAATAACGTCACATTAGTCCTTCGCTATGCTCCGAACAATAAATCTCTTACATATAGTGAATACATCATTTCAGATATTTTAAAGAAATAATTGGGCGTAATTTTATATAAAAAAGATAAAAAATCGTTACACTAAATTGTCTTTCATATAACATTGATAATAAAAACATTATTTTTTTATAACAGAAAGTCTACAATTTTTGTGCAACTAAATAAAATAATTAATTTATCCTTTTTTATTTTATCTTTTTCCTCCTTTCCGATTATTCATAAAGTGATTATTCATTAATTAAATGTCGTGCAAAAATTATTTATTTATGATTATGTTGTTATGGTAAAATGACAGCAAAAATAAAAAGTTTGTACCATTAATATTTACATAATCATTCTATTCAATAACAATAATTATTGATAATCGTCTAAAACATATTTATGATATTAGAATTAACTTTATGTTATAACCAATAGCCAATAAATAATAAGGTCACTACTGTAATTTTAATAATAGAATAATATGTAATATAAATACTGAATAAAGGATATTTCACAACTTTACTACTTATTATTTACATATATGTATACTTCACTGCATACTGAATATTTCATATACATTTTGTTGCAAAGATTCTGTATATATAATATGATAGGTAATCTTATTACAACGTGCACTTACGCAATACACACCACCTTTCTTATCGAAAGTTACTTGATATATTATTGTTATATATTTATTTACCGTATAAATAAATCTTTTTTTTTAAAAAAAAAGTAAAGAGAATGCACGTCTATGTTTAATATTTAATTTCAGTGTTCAAGAGATGAATGAACACTGAAATTAAATATTGAACAATTTAAATAAATATTAATCCTTATTTGTAAAAATGATATGCACGTTTTCTAAAGAGATTTGACTTGGTTTTTTTTTGCGGGTCCAGAGAGTATACTTACCTTTTCGAGTTAAAAACCTTTATACATTATGCATATATAGCTATGAATTAATTTCTTAAAAATAAATAGTGGTTCTTTTTTAATTACGAAACTTATTATTCTCTTGAGTAAAAATATTTTGTGGGTACTTTTCACTCGAAATCTATTTAACTTAGTGTGAATAATATTCTAACCATATTTGTCAAACAACAATGGATAGCATTTATATCACCTGTCGAAATTTTTAAACAATGGGAACCTTTGTTTGTAGTTTCCTTTTTCTTTTTGAATTTCAGCACATAAAAAATAGTTAAAAAAATGCATATACTGTAAATAATTAATATTATATTGTATGTATGTACATTTAGTGAATCGATTAAATCTGCAACGAAGATTTTTTTAATTTAATTTCTTTAATTCATTTAATAATATCTATAATCAACTACTATTTGGTTGGAATTTTGATCGTTAGATAAAATTATTTTCAAAAGCAGCGGTTCAAAATATTCCCCCGAATTTTTGCATTTCAATATGAGGGAGTATAAGGAAAAATCATTTGAAAAATTACGCAAAAAATCATGTATCCAGATTATAATAACTTTATTATTTTACAAAGTTGTTGTTGTTAGGAATGGAATTTTTTTTTTAATATATTAATCCAATTTATTTATGCATAAAAATAAATTTTATCAGTCCGGGTTTTGTATTTCGTTTACTTTGTTTGTATTCTTTACAAACTCCCTTTAATATTAATACAAAGTATAATGAATAATAAAATATTTAAACCCACCCACAAAACTGTTAAGTAATAATAAGTAATACCACAAATATACGATTGAATAGATTGACTCATTTCCAGTATGAAGCCATTCCTTAACAATTGGTGCGAAATCTTTTACGAAAGTAAAGAATTTTGGAATTAATTCAAATGCAATTATTTGAATACCTAATGTAATGAATTTAATCACTTGAAAGAATCATTTGAAATAAATTTTCTAAAAATTATTATTCAATAAAAACTTACCAAATTTTACAGTAGTGTTGATAAGGAATATTGGGAAGAAATGACGCCATAAAATTTCGAAATTTATGATAATTGGATATAGAAGAAATCGGTAAAGTCGACATGTTATTAATCAAAAAAACTTCGTATTCTTCTATTGTAGCGGGATTGTTGATTTGTTGTTGAATCTCATCAGGCAATTTTATGATAATATAATGTAAGTCCCTTTTTTTTGTTTAGAATAATCAGTAAATTCTAAATATAAATCATCTCCCAATTTTATCCATTATCCGCAGTGTAGATAAGATTTTAGTCTGTAAATATATGTGGTATTGTAAACATAATTATTCATGATTTTAATGGGTAATCATCCACTGCCCAACAAAAAACAAAGGATTAGAAAATAAATATACACATTGCAATTATTAAAATTATGGAATCATATATTTTCAAGGTTTAATCTTTCAATTAAAGTTTTATCTGTATTTCATGGCAAAAATAAGCCAGAAAGAGAAGAGAAAGTATAGAAAGAGAAAGAGAAAAATAAAACTGGTACAACAATGATAGAAAAGTTTGAACCACTCTAAAACAACTTATTAACCATTGGTTAAGACCACTATGTATTGTAAATAATAGTTAATAGTTAATAATAGTTTAGATGTGATATGCCCACCGAATAAAGGATATTTCACTTACTATTTATTCCTATTTATATATAAACTTTACTGCATACTGAATATTGTATATTTCGTATACGTATATATAATTAACTTCATACTGTATATTTCATATTAAGATATCCGTAGTTGTATTTAAGCGAAGTGATATTATTATTTCTTTGGTTGCTGCTGAAAATATTATTACTACCATGAACATTTTGAAGAATTTTCCGAAGCATCTGTTAAATTATCATTTGTAATAGATTTTATTGCTTTCAGAAAAGCTTTCTCTTGATATTTCTCCAGATGTTGCATTTATTATATTTCATAATCTGAAATTTTAAGAAATATTTCTTAAGATCTATACTATTGATATGATAAGCTAAGTTTGATTTTTAAGATTACGTTCTAGCATAATCGATTTTTCTATAACTTTATTCGTGAAATTTTCAAATAGAATCTTTATAACGTTCACCTTAATTTTTAAATATTCTCAAAGATGATCTTTTTTCGAAAGCTGTAAAATGTAGAATAAGTTAAATTAAATCCTTTATTAATGAGCTCATCAAGTCTTTCGATTATTTGTTGCATAATTTAGAGTTGTACTAAATTCAATCCACATCGACACTAAATCTTTGCATATTAAAATATCTCATATATAACATTTAATTGTCTACTATTTTCATATCCATCTTTAGGAGGGGTGTTGAAGGTAAATCATTTTTCAGGTCTAGGGGTAGGGGGAAATGGAATAAAATTCATTTTATGAATTAATTCTATAATATCATACATATTTCTAAATAAAATTTCTGGTGTCACTTATTACATACGGATTTATTCGTACTATACAACTGTCTATCAATATCTTTATTTATATTGATATTTTAAAGATGAGAGGAGAAATATTTGGATACAATTTTTATAAAAAAAAAATATAAAAAAGCGTCTTTCATATAATACATATAATAAAAATATCAAATTTTTATAACTCCAAATAATTTAAACCGAAAATGAGCAATAAATAGAAAAAAATGAAAGATTTAAATTTATTTGTGCCATTGACAATAATTGTAAAACAATGATTTAATTTCCACGAGGTGATCATAGGTAATACAAAAGAACAATTTGTCATATATGAAATCAGTTTGATGCTTATTATAGTTGCTATAAAAAACGCCAAAAAAAACTCCAAATGAGGCTATTTGGTATAAAAAGAAAGAATTAAAACTGTACTACTATAAAAAGAGATATGTGTTATATGTGAGTAATATAAAAGAAAGGTGCTAAAAAATATAAATATGAGTGATCTCCGCAAACAAAAAATAAAAATTCAGAATTTAAAATGTCTCTTCCTATTGATACTACAAATATAATAAATGTCCCTTTTCCCCCATCTATTAGTGTAGATGAGATCATAGAAATGCATTTAAAAAATGATATTAAGAATGTTAATCAAACTATGAATTCATTTATGATTTATCGAAAAGAATATAATAATATAGTTGCAAAATTTAATCTTTCAAGTAAAGATGTATCTAAATTTGTCAGTATTTCATGGAAAAATGAGCCGGAAGACGTCAAAGAATATTACCGACAGATGGCAAAAAATATAAAAAAATGTTTCAAAGAAAAGGTTCCTTCCCTTTGTTTCATCAATAGCAATCAAGTAAATAGTACAAATGATAATCACATCCCTTTAGATATTTCACTTAATACGAATCATAATTTTCAAAATACTAATTATCCATTTTTTTATACGGATCAAGCCATCTATTGTATCCAACAATTTAAAAATGAATGTCAGAAATGTCTAAGTATGGATGAAGATGAATTTATGAACCATCTCTCTGAAGATATGGCATTAACTTATAAGGCAATTAAACAATCGTTATAATTTCTACTTATGATTGGGAGAAAAATTATCCGGGCACTACCTGCTAGAATTCTACATAGCCCCCACTTTTAAACCACCAATTATATGTAAGAATTTTCTTTAGTTTGAGATTTTTTTGTGCTTCAGATCGACGCTTGCGTAATCTACACTAGTCATTTTTTTTTAATGAGGGGGAATTGATTTAAAAAGATCTACAAAGGCCGTAGTTATAATTCTGGTCATCTGAGGCACAACGTATATAATAATAATTTATTCATTTCTTAAAAATAAATAAAAGTGGTTCTTCTTTTAATTACATAACTTATTATTTGGACATTTTTAAAATTTTTTTAACCGAAATCTATTTAGGTACATATGTTTAACTTGGTTTTAACCATTTGTCAGACAAACAATGGATAGCATTTATATCAACACAGTACTGACTGTCGGATTTTTGTTTGTTTACAATTTTCGAATTTCAGCACAAATAAAAAAAAAGTTAAAAAACAAATACATATAAATAATTAATATTATATACTGTATGTATGTACAGTATATACATATATGTATATATATATGCAGTTAGCGACTCGATTAAATCTGCAACGAAAATTTCTAAATTTAATTCTTTAATTCATCTAATAATATCTATAATTGGTTGGAATTTTGATCGTTAGATAAAATTATTTTTCGATTCAAAATATTATCGCATTTCAATGTGAGTATAAGAAAAATCATTTGAAAAATCACGCGAAAAATTCATGCATCCGGATTATAAATAGACTTTATTACTTTACAAAGTAGTTGTTAGAAATGAAATTTTTTTTTTTTAATATATATTTTAATCCAATTTATTTATTTATATAAAAATAAAATAAATTTTATCAATCCGGTTTTTGTATTTTCGTTTATTTTTGTTTTTTGTATTTCTTTATAAATTCCTTTTAATATCAAAACAAAGTATGATGAATAAAATAATATTTAAACCCACCCACAAAAATTTTAAGTAATAATTGGAATTGAAAATCATACCACAAATATACGATACAATAAGAAAGAATACGTTAAGAATTGTGAATAGAAATGAATAAATTTTAATCCCATCAGTACAAGCCCAGTTCTTAACAATTGGTGCGAAATCTTTTACGAAAGTAAAGAATTTTGGAATTAATTCAATTACAATTAATGTAATGAATTTAATCACTGAAAGAATCATTTGAAATAAATTTTCGAAAAAATTATTATTCAATAAAAAATTCGTAAATTTTACAATAATATTGATAATGAATACCAAAGTATTAGAAAGAAATGATGCCATGAAATTTCGAAATTTATGATAATAGGATTTTGAAGAAATTGGTAAAGCCGACATATTATTAATTGAAAAAATTTCATAATCTTCTATTGTGACGGGATTATTGATTTGTTGTTGAATTTCATCAGGTAAACTATATCCAATTTTATGATAATATAATGTAGGTACCATCTTTTGTTTAGAAAAATTGGTAAATTCCAAAAATAAATCATCTCCTAATTTTAATCCATTATCCGTAACGTAGATCAAAGGAAAAGATTTATTTTTGGATTGACCGAATTTTCCAACTTCTGTAGGATTCCCTTCTCGATCACTAAAAGTGAAGATGAAACTATTTTTAGCAATCAAATTTGAATTTTCTTCCGTCTTCCAAGGAATTGGATTATATCCACCAATGATTAAATCTGATCCTTGAGGTTTAAGTAAAATAAGTGTGGAAGATTTATTTTTACAAGAATCTAGAAAATCATTTTTCTCAAATCCATGCTGACTTCCACGAATTAAAAGGCTATAACGATACGTCAATGTTTTTCTTTCTTCTTGATGTTGAGTTTTAATCCATTGAGAGATGAGACTGACATGTTTTACATCTATGATTTTTGAATCAATTCTTCCCGCTCGTTTTGGTAATTTTGGGTAACCTACTCGAACATTTTTATTCATGTGAAATTTTACTAAATCTTGGTATAATGAACCTAAAAATATTAATTATTATTATTATTGTTATTATATTGTTATTATGGAAAAAAAATTGATAAATCTTGAATATTAATAAATTAATAAATAAATAAAATAAATAAATAAATAAATATATATATTTTTTTTACCTGGAAGAACCTTATCATAAGGAATTACCTTTTCCGCAAAATCATCTTTTGAAATATGAAACCAACGAATTAAGGGAATAAAATTTTGTAACATAATCTTAATTTCCGAAATTTGTTCGGATTTCCAATTTTCCGGATTTTTAGGAATATTTGAAAATTGAGCCACCGTCCATTGAATTACTTGATCCCAAACTTCCACTTCATTCATTAATAAATCATCCCTGGAAACCATGGAGATCACATCATTTAAAGGAATTTTTGAAAAATTTTCCAAATGAAATGATAATTCGGTATTTGTTTGAATCATGTCTTTATAAAAATCTTGAAATTTTTTTAAAGCTGGTTGCATGAATATTCGAGCATATATGGAATGCATATTTTCCCATAACCATTCCGATCTTTCTTGTATAAAAATTATTTGAATATAATTGACCAAGTCATAAAGTTCTAATTCATTCGCGGCGAGAATAAAATCCGTTATTACATTTGGATTGTTGCTTAATAATGGTTCATCGTTACAAAGGAGAAGATCCAAAAAGTCACAATTATCTACATTATAAATTGGAACGACCCCAGTATAAATGTATCTATATATATATATTTTTTTTTGATATATAATTAATGCAAAAACAATAATAATAATAATACATAACAGACAGAAAGAAAAAAAAGAAAGAGAGAAAAGAAGAAAAGAAGAAAATACTTCAACAATGGTCTAAAAATACTTGATGAAATTTCTGGTTTATAAAATTTTATAATTTCTTTTCTCGAATTTGGTGGAATATCTTCAATTTCTTTTCGAAAGTATGGGGATCTTGCGGAAAGTATCATTGAATGTGCTTTAAATGTTGTCTTATCATTATACTCTCCGACGTGTATCTCTACGTCGGACTCATATCCATTAGTCAAGTATTCATCAAAATCTTTGGATAATTGTTCTAAGAGAATTTTTTGAATCATCTTTTTTTAAAAAAAATTTATTATTGTTTTGTTTATTTATTATTTTTTTTTTAAAAAAAAAAAAAAATTGGGGAGAAGTAGGTGGGAATATCGTGATATAAATATCCCAAGAAGTTGGCGTAAAATTTTTACTTAAATGGTTACATTAAAGTTATTACCAAAATTGATGAAAAAAGCATGAAAAAAACGTTTCAAGATATTCATATTGCATTTCTGGATAATTTAAATCTTTTACATTTTCATAACTTTTCATAAGCGATTGATTATATAAAAAAATTTAGAGATAGTCGAGTAGAAATAACATAATATTTGGGGGATGGAACATCGAACAATTGAATGATGTTAGAACAATGTAATGCTTGGCGCGATTAATTGAAAAATTTTATCATTTCACGTGCAAAATTGAAAATATTTGATTTAAAATTTCTAATTCCTTAATCCTGATCGAAATTTTCATAATTCCTTAATCCTGGTCTCATCATCATCTTCAAAAATAGATTAAAAAAAAAATTTTTATTAAAAAAAAAATTCTTTCTTTTACAACTAAATTCTTTTTTTAAAAAAAATTATAAAAAAAATGCCAAAAATAAAATCTCAAAAATTTGGTCATTCTCATCAGAAAAATAATAAGGATGCCTCTTCTGGATCTTCTGTTACTAGAACGTCCGCACCATTGTTTAATAAGAACTTAGGTCAACATATTCTTAAAAATCCACTCGTATCTCAAAGTATTGTGGAAAAGGTAGGAAATTTTTTATAATAATAATAATAATTTTCTATTTAAATATTTTCATATTCATTATCCTTTTTTTTTGTTTTATTTTTTTTTTCAAGGCGGGCTTGAAAAATACGGATACGGTTCTTGAAGTAGGTCCAGGTACAGGTAACCTTACAATGAGAATACTAGAAACCGCAAAAAAAGTCGTAGCAGTAGAAAGGGATCCTCGATTAGCAGCTGAATTAATAAAGCGAGTTCTGGGAAAGTGAGTAATTACTATTATTATTATTATTATATTTAATTTTAATTTTTAATTTTAATTTTAATTTTTTTTTTTTTTTTTAATAATAATAATAATAAAGACCAGAACAAAAACGATTAAATGTAATGGTTGGAGATGTGATCAAAACAGAATTACCGTATTTCGATGTTTGCATCAGTAATACACCATATCAGGTTTTTATTTCTTTATTTTATTTATTTTTTAAATTATTTAATTTTTTTTATTTTTTTTATTTTTTTCATTCATTATTCATCAAAAAAATATTTTTTTATTAAATTATTTAGTTATTCATTTTAATAATTCTTTAGATATCTTCACCTTTAATTTTTAAACTTCTTGAACATCGACCATTATTTAGATGTGCTATATTAATGTTTCAACGTGAATTCGCTTTACGTTTGGTCGCTAAACCGGGTGATAGTTTGTATTGTAGATTAAGTGTGAATGTACAATTATTTGCCAAAGTGTATCACATTATGAAGGTAAATATTATATATATCTTTCTTTTTTTTTTTATTAATAAAAATACAAATAATGAATAATGAATAATGAATAATGAATAATCAATTATAAATGATCAATTGTAAATAATCAAGGTTGGGAAAAATAATTTCAAACCTCCTCCTCAAGTTGAATCATCAGTAGTAAGAATTGAACCATTAAATCCTCCACCAACTGTTAGTACCAAAGAATTCGATGGAATGGTAAGAATATTATTTAGTAGGAAAAATAAAGTGAGTGGGATTTTCCTTCTAATTTATATATGTTTATTTATATTTATTTGCATTTTATATATAATTTTATTTTATTTTATCTTAATTTGCATTTTATATATATATTATTTTATTTTATCTTATTTTTTTTAGACCCTTGCTGCAAATTTTAAAAATAAATCAGTATTGGATATTCTTGAAAATAATTATAAGACTTATTGTTCTACAAATGAGATTGTATGTATATAAAGAAATTTTTTTTTTTGTCTATTTCTTTTACATTCATTTTTTTTTGGAATTTAAATATTTTTTTTTATAATTTTTTTTACAATTTTTTTTTTTTAGATGATTGATAAAGATTTTGATATAAAAAAAGTGGTTCATAATGTACTTGATTCAACAGGATTTTTGGAATCTAGAGCTGCCAAATTGGATGTGGATGATTTTTTAAAGTAATTTTATTTTTATTTTTAAATAATTTTTTTAAGTGTGTTATATATCATATCATTTACATTTATTTATATTTTATTTGACTTATTTTAATTATTATTTTTTTTTATTTTATTATTAGGTTGCTTTACTCATTTAATCAAGCAAATATTCATTTTTGTTAAAAAAAAAAAAAATTGATCAAGAAAATTATTTTAGGATCTATGTATTTAATTATCTTTTCACGAATTGAAATTTTTTGTAATTTTTAATTTTATAATTTATTAGATAAAAAAATTATTAGATAAAAAAAAAAAAGATCTGTTAGTTAAAATAAATAAATAAATAAAATGTCTGTATTTATTTATTTGTTTTTGTTTATTATCTGGAAATATTTTTTTTTTCACAAAAAAATAAAATACAATAAATAATATTTTTAATTTAAAATAATAATATTTAAGTTTGATTTAATTAATTTTTTTTAGAACTAATTTTTTTCTTTTTAATAAAACTACTGCTTTCATTATATTCATTATATTCCGTATACCCTCTATCTTCAATATTACTATTAATACTATTACTATTACTTTTATCACTTTTATTGATTTTTGATTTTTTCTTTTTTGTGGGTGATGATGATAATATTGATTTAGAAGAAGTCGGTGTTTCTTCGATAGTATTTACATGAATATTATGAATATTACGAATATTATTATTGTTATTATCATTGTCAATTGGTTTCTTTTTCTTCTTTTTAATTTTCTTGTTATTTAGATTTTCTGAAATTTCTATATTATTACTATTATTATGATTATTATTTATAATTGTATTACTATTTTTGGTATTAGATTCTTTTTTGGATCCTTTGACTTTTTTCTTTTTCTGTTGTACATTTCCTACCACTACATCACCTTCATTTCTTTCTGTATTTTCAATAATCAAATTATTATTATTATCATTATTATTATTTATATCATGACTCCATGGTGAACTTGATAATTCTTGTTCTAAAAAAAAATGAATGAGAATTATTATTATTTATTAATAATAATAATATTATTATTACTTTTCATAATGATAATTATCTTTGGGCATTAAACTTACTTTTTAACCCCGTTTCTAACCCAGTTTCTAACCTACTTTCTAACCAAGGATTATCTTCATGTCCATCCCCAATTTCTTCATATCCACTTGGAGTCCCAAATGTTACTAGAATATTACTAGTAATATTCATTATATCATTGTTATTATCATTATTATTATCATTGTCATTATTAGAATTATTATTATTATTATTGTTGTTATCATTATCATCATTGACACCATCATCGTTATTATCATTATTAGTATTAATATAAATATCTTCTATTATTGAAGAATGATTTAAATAATTTAAATCATCATCATCACTACTATCAATAATTCTACTATTGTTTATTAAATTATGTACATGACTTTTTTCGTAACTTTGATGATATTTCCAAACATCATCATTAATATTACCATAATAATAGGTTTGATTATTATTATTGTTGCTGTTATTGTTGTTATTGTTAATATTTCCATTATTATCTTTATTATCACCGTTATCTCTATCATCCTCATCGTCATGGTTAGTAATAATAATAGAATCACCAACTCCAATTAAATCTTCATCACCAGCAACCATTGGATTCATTATTTTATCATCATCATCATCATCATCAGGAGGTGGAGGTGGTGGTGGGGGAAGAAATATTTTTGATAGATTATTATTATCATCATTAAAAAAATTATCATCTAAATCTCCCGTATCAAATTCTTCGATAATTTTAATATCAGGTTGTAGTTTAGTTGTTGTTGATTTGATTATTGGATGATAACGTTGAGGTAATATTAATATTGATGATGAATTATTATCATAATTATTATCATTATTATTATCATCATCATTTTCATCATTATCATTGTTAGTATTATTATAATCGTCATCACCATAATTGTTATTGTTATTGTTATTATTATCATTGTTGATATTAGTTTGTATCCTTTCTTTTTTTTCTAATGGAACAGTTCGATCACGTTCTTCAATCATAATATCATTATCTAGAGCATTGAGAAATTTTGCTAATTCTTTTGTTTTGGAATCTAATTGTTGTCGAAGAATATTTCTCTAAAAGATGAATGAATACATATAACGAAATAAATAAATAAATAAATTAAATTCAAATAAATTAATAAATAAATAATGAATAAATAAATGAATAAATAAATTAATAAATAAATAAAATAATAAATGAATAAATAAATAAATTAATACCTGTAATTGTAAAAAAGGAACACCAAAATATTTATAAATATAATCTAATCCCAATCCATTCATCATACAAGTGTCCACATATCGAATCATGTTTGTTGAAGGATATTCAGTTACTCTTTCACGATTACAATCAGATATTTCCTGATATATTTGTGCTTGAGATATTACTCGTTGCGCATTTAGATCATTAAAATTACCCTATTTTTTTTTTTGATGAAATTTAATATTAATAGAGAGTATATATATATATAGAGAGAGAGAGAAAGAGAAATAAAAAATATTATATTATATTTATTACCAAAACCAAAACTGCAATATTATCAGGAATCTTTCTTAATTCTTTAATTGCATAATCAAAAGTCCAACTTTTGGTTATATCAAACATTAAAATAACACCATGCGTATTACGATAAACATCAATCGTTTCAGCATCCAATGTAAGCGAATCAGGTGATGGGAATGATTTCGGTGATGGTGATGGTGATGGTGGTGGTGGTGGTGATTGAACTATATAAGATAATATATTTAATAATAATGATTTATTTAATATATTTAATTATAATAATATTAATTAATTATAATAATATAATATAAATATATTTAATAATAATAATATAAAAATTATACCTTGAGAATTATTAGAATTATTATCAATCTTTAATCCACCAGCATTAGATTTTTTACTGGGATTTAAAGGATTAATACCTTTATCAACAACATCCCAAATTTCAACTTTAATAATATCACTAATATGATTATCATGTTTCCATTGGATATTGGCCACTTGTATTTGTGGTGTAGTTGTATATTCTTCTATAAATCTTTCTCCTTGTAATCGATTAACTATCAATAATTAATTAATTAATTATTAATTATTAATTATTATTATTATTATTATATTATTATTATTATTATTATTATTATTATTATTATTATTATTATTATTATTATTATTATTATAATTATTTTACTCGATAATTAAAATAAATTGTGATTAATTTTTTGAATAAATAAATAAATAAATTATGATTAATTATAATTAAATAAATGAATAAATTAATTAATTATTGAATAAATGATAAATACATAAAGTCGATTTTCCGGTTTTGATATCACCACGTATTATAATTTTCACTATTTGATTGGAATAATGATTTAAATTAAATAATGAAAATTAATTAATTTATTATAATGAAAAAATAATAATAAGAATTATTTTCTTACTATTATATTGAATTCCCTTTCGAAATATTTCTTGTAAAGGTTTATGCTTGAATTGCTGATCTTCATTATTATTATCATTATTATTATTATGAGAAGAGAGTTTTGCTTGTTCGTTACCCTTATTATTATTTATTCATTATTGATATTCATTAAATATTTAAATATTATTATTATTAAATGAATAATTTATTTATTAATATATATGTATAATAATATTCACCATTTTTTTTTATTTTTTTTTACAATATTAAAAGGTAAAGGGTCGGGTATTTATATTTATAATATTGAAAAAACAGGGTTGTCATTGGTCTAAATTTCACACGCACATTATACATTATTCATTTACTTTCGTACATGACAAACAAATATAAATATAAATGTAATATGTATGTATAAAAGTAAAAAATCACATGCATATCAACGTGGTATATAATATAGGTGATAATATAGGTGATAATATAGATGAAGTGATAAAATACTGTTAGTATTAAAATTTTATTTCTTCACCAATACATTTACAATATGATCCTTTATTATGATCCTCCTTATTTTTTTTTATCTTTTATAACGATAAGTCTTATAACCATCCGAATTCGTATTTTCGACTTCAAGGTTATCCATTTCATCTTTAGATCTTCGTTCTCGTTCCTTTCTACGTTTTTTAAGCCATACATCTCTTCGCGAAATATGTAAATCTTTTAAACACCGAATTATCATTTTATTTGATGCATGGATCTTTTGATCTTGTAAATATTCTCTAAATTGTGGATAATGCGTATTATATATGTAGGGTTTAACTTCCGTCCAGGTGTATTCTCCACATTTTAATCTTCTCGAAGGTTTTTCGTCAATGTAATCTAATAACATTTTCTAATAATAATAATAATAATAATAGATATTAATTTATTAATGTTATTATTTATTATTAATTTATTAATGAATTATTAATTATTAAATATCTATTATTAATAAGTAATTAAATAATTACCTTAACAGTTTTAAGTAATTCTAGATCAGCCAACCGTTCGTCAAAAAGATCATCATCATCGTCTGAATAAGCGTCGGCTGCTTCTTCACTTCTAATATTTCGATTATTCCTATTTTTACTAATTTTCAATTTCTTTAAACTTTTTGTTAAAGATCGTTCACTCGGATCAACACGGCTGCGCTTATTATTATTATTATTATCATTATTATTATTATTATTATTATTACCAAATTGTAAAGAATTTTTAGATATTCTTTCAGTTCGATATAATCTTTGTTTAACATTATTGTTATTATTATTATTATTACTATTATTATTATTACTATTATTATTATTATTAACATCCTTATTCTGATTCTTCTGTCGATCAATATATTCTACACGATGAGTAGATTTTTGAAAATGAGTTGTATGATTACCCGATATTGTCTCTTTTTTTATTAACATAGGTTGATGTCGTGGTTGATGTAATTGCTCATGTGATGATGGTGGCGATTGTGGTGGCAAAGTGTTGGCAGTAGTATATTTATGTGTGACTGAAATATTTGTGGTACTCACTCTGGTAAGTGGAACATTTTCATTTCTGTCTTCTATTTTTAAATACATTTTTAAATACATTTTTTAATTTTAATTTTTTTTTTTTAATTCCCAAGAAAAAAAAAATTATGTAAAAAAAAAATTTGTAAAAAGGATTAATTATTTCTTCTTATTACTTACTTGACTTAGTGGGTAATACATTTCGATTATTCGGAAAACCATCCAGTTTAATAACACATTTTTGTTCATTCATTATTCCTCTTTTATTATTCTTCTTCTTTATTTTTTTTTTATTCGTCTTCCTCTTTATTTTTTTTTATTCTTCTTCCTCTTTATTTTTTTTATTCTTCTTCCTCTTTGTTATTTTTTTTTATTCTTCTTCCTCTTTGTTATTTTTTTTTATTTATTTATTCTCCTCTACTGAAAAAAAATATTCAAAACTCTTTTCCTTATTCCTAAATATCCTTATTCCGTGAAGTATTCGGAATGTGTATATATTATATATATATTTTTATATTTTTATATTTATACTTCCTCTTTATTTCTTTATTTTCTTTTCTTACTATTATTTTATTATTATTAAATTCCACTATTATTATTATTTTACTCACACAGAACAGAAAAAAAAAATGATTTTTTTTATTTTTAGCGCATACGACTCATATTTATATAAATTGGCTGAATTTTTGAGCGACAATAAATAATAGCATCTAACCATGCACAAAGATGACAAAAGGGGGATGTACGATGCACATGGATGAAAAAAGGATAGAATAGAAGAAATTTCTTCTAAATTTAATTAATTAATTAATTTTACCATTTTACCATAACTGATAAGAAAAATAAAATACAATCTACTGCGTTGTGTGGAAAATGCACAGTAAAAAGTACTGCGGCTTACTACTACCGTAGCAGTACTACGGCTTGTTTGTTTACTTCTAAAACCTTTGTTTAACAAAAGAAGAAATGTCATATTACCAATAAATAATTCCTATATTAGGTTGATCTGTATCTTCCCTTGATGATATAAAAAAAAAAACTACTCGTGTTTAAGTATAATAGAAACCACAAACAAAACAGATAACAGAAAACATAACAAAAAAACAATATTAGGTTGTTTTACTGCATTTATCCGTATTATAACAAAAAACTACTCGTGCAAAGTATTAATAAACAGAACAGATAACAGAATATAGAATATAAATATAATTGGTCAAATATCGTCATCCACTGTAATTTTCCATTTATAAAACGCGACTAAAAATAAATTTTTTAAATCCTTTCAACTTCTTACTTACTCTTCTTACTCTCTTTGACTAACAAACGGCGATTATAAAAACAACAGGATAATAAAATAAAGGATTAATATAAATATTATTAATAAATATTGTAAAAAATGTCTACAAAGATCTCTCAAGTCAAAGGTTTCTCAAGTTATTACGCGATATTCTATAATTTTTATTTATTGTTGTCGTGTTAACAGTATTTAATCTGATGATTTCTTTCCTTTTTCGCTCTCTCTTTCTTTGAACCTTTTAAAGATACCATTAAGCAAGATAATAATAATAATAATAACAATAAGAAAAAAAAACAAAGGAATGATGCTGAAAGGATAGCTAAAGGTTTCTCAAGTTATTATGCGCGCGATATACTGTAATTTTTTTTTATCGTGTCGTGTGAAAAAGTAATTAATCTGATAACTTCTTTCTTTTTTCTCTCCCTCTCTCTCTGACATTTTAAAGATACCATTAAGAAAGATAATAATAATAATAATAACATTAAGAAAAAAAAAAGTGACAAAAGGATTTGGGTCTTATCACTATATTTTTCTCGGTACAAATATGATGAATTTACTATTGAGAATCGTTGTTTTAAGACTAAAGAACTTGCTGAAGGTGCTATGAGAAGAGAAGCTAAACGTTTATATAGAGATTCCGGTATCATTCAAGAAGCTGATGATAAATACTTTGATGAATATGATGGAGAAATTCATTTTGGTGAAAATCCTGAGGAAATTGGTTATAGAAGGGAATTTGGTTACGCCCAAATTACACCGGTTGAATTGGAAAATACAGAAAGTGGTGATGATGTACCATCTTCAACAAGTGAGGAGGATTCGAGTGATGATGATGATTATTATAATTGTTATTGAATGAAAGGAAAAATAAGAACTAAAGTATGAAATATAAATGATTATTATTATTTTTCTTGTTTTCTAATTCGAATTCAAATATTATATATATATACATATATTACAATCTCACACTCTTTAACCGTACAACAACAATCGTGACAATTACTTTTCAATTATTTTTCAATTTACTTGTCAAAACTTATTCTTTCGCATTTTATAATAATATCATTCTCTCTCTCTACAAACACCTTTAAAATAATGACGCGTAATTAGTTCTCTCTTATATAAAAATCTACACATTTTAACATTTTAATAATTTTAATCACTTTAATATGGTAGTATGTATAAAGAAATTATTGAAAAAATTTAATTAAAAAATTAATGTAATTTTCGGTCTTCAAAATATATCCTTCAAATATATCTTTCACATTATCATGTAGATTGTATTTTTTCATGTATTTTCCACAATATAATGGTTATCGTGCAGTAAAAAAAAATTGATCGATAAATAATTATTCATTTACTACTATCATTTCTTTCTTTATTAGAAACCTCCCAAAATAAAAAAGATTTGGGAGAGGATTCATTGCATTGAAGTGATTAATGCTATTATTATTATCAATTTTCCTCCCTCCTTAAAAAATGATAAGTCCATTTATTATTAACTTCGCTTTTTCTCCTCTTTCTCCCTAATGGTTCACGACAACAATGAAATGGAATCAACAAATTAAATTTTTCCAGATTTTGCATTGACTAAACTCCTTAAAATTTCTCAATTCCATTTAAATAATCGTCATTCAACATATCACGTCAGATAATTTCTAAATGTGATGTATTAATAAAACTTTAATAAATTTTACTACAATAATACTGTCAAAAATAATTATCCCATGGTATGAGGTGTTCTAACTAATTACTTCTAAAAAACGCCTACATATCTACTTTGTCATACCGTAGCCTATTTTATAACCAATAAAATCATTTAAATGTAATTTATACTCATTGATAACAAAAAAAAAATGACAACCAAATTTTATGAACGCTGTGAGACTATTATTATATTTATTTATTTATTAGTTAGACATAATTATTAGATTTAAGTAGATCATGTATGTGTAACAGGTGATTTACCTGTTGTATCTAAGGGATAGTTAAATTAATGGAGGCATATCAGCTAATTTGCGGATTTTGATACAGTGAACCCTCTATAAATGCACCCTTCGGGGAATCAACATTAGGGTGTATTTATAAAGGGAATGCATTTATAGAGGGAATTTTACTAAGTGTTATTATGTATGGAACTTGGAGTATAGGGTGCATTTATAGAGGATTCACTGTACCCCCAAAATTGTTTGTACTACACCATCATCTGATTGTGATTCGTCATTAATTCAGGACATGATAGAAATTATTTCAAAAAAATGACCAAAACAAAATAAAAAATAAACAACTATAAGTAAAACCCATTTACAAAACCAAAACCCATTCACAAAATCAAAAACTCATTTGATATTTAGGTGAACATTTGAAATTGTTGAACATAATATAAAACTGTTTACTAATATTAAGCTTTTCTTTTAAAAAACGTGAATCTCAAAAATCATTTAATCTATGTCATCAATGCTTTCTTTTTCACTTTGCATTACCTGTGGTAAAGAATTCAAAAATTCAAAAGGTCTAGTATGTCACAACCATTATATACAATAATATAATCAACAAGATCTTGAGAAACTTTTAATAAATACTATAGATGAATTTAAACAAATTATAGTAGTAAAAATATATAAAAAATTATCTTTGAATTTTAGATCTTTAGAAAAAAACTAGTATTTATATTGTAGAATATTAATTTAGTTTATTTTTATTATATTATTTATTTAATGTATTTATTATTTATTTATAATTTATGTAAATCAAAGATCATGTAACAGGTAATTCACCAAGTTGACTACTAGGTGGCTCACCAGGTTGACTACCAGGTGGCTCACCAGGTTGACTACCAGGTGAATCACCTAGGTAAATTATCTGTTGCACATAACAGGTGAATCACCAGGTTAATTACCTCTTGCTAAAATTAGTAAATTATTAATTTGGTAAATCATTACACACAGCAAATTAAAGAAATATAAATATGAGTCTTCCCTGACCTGAGAAGAAGAGTTTAAAAATTCTATAGTTTTTAAAAGTTTAAGAGATCAGAACAAAGTTGTTTCTTTTAGCTAATATATAATTTAATCCTTTAATATTTACCTTTAATTTTATAATTTCTATTTCTATATTATATTTTATTTTTATATTTATTATTATATTTATTAATAAAGTTATATTAAATATCTCCATTAAATCTTTAATTTGTTAATTTGTCATATAATTCTTAATAAAACTGGAGTTAATCTTATATAAATACTCTTTAGTATATACATCTTATTAAACAAACAAGTTGATTTGATGTGCTAAAACCCTGCATAATAAAGAACTCACCTAGTAATATTCATTCAAATTCATTATTAAATAATTGAATTGAGTTGATCTTAGTGATTCTCGAGAAATTCTGAAAATTATTTAAGTAGTTTAAGTTAGTTTAGTTAAAAAATATTAGTTATCCTTCAGACCCTTGTTCACATATTGGTGTGACAATATTATTAACTTTAATTTATAAAAAATTTAGCTTAGAAATAACTTATTCAAAATAATCAGATATAATGATTATTAAATTATTGGATCAAGAACTTAGCTGAACTCATCCATAGAATATTAAAGATTTTAAACCTATTTACAAAGTCTTGAATTTGTAAATTGGAGTCTAGAGAAATATGAATTAAATGAAAATTTAAAAAATTTTATAGATTTAGTAAAACAAGCTCAGCAAAAATTTATTACCGAAGTATTTATTAATAAACATGATTCTCCTTAATTTAGGTCAATACCAATTACAAAACAAGAAGCGAAGGCTTAAGAAAGTGAAGAAAATATAACTAAGTTTGAAATTTTGCTAAGAATAGAAACTTTTCTTGAACAGTTTGATAAAATACTTAGAAGAAGTATTCTGGACTGAAGTCAAAAAAGCGAAACGAATTATTATGCATATTACAAGAAATAAAGTATATATTTAATTTGAATAATAAAATTATTAATGAAGATTGTTTAAAATGATTTTTTTCATTTAGGTATTTTAACAATAAAATGAGAATTAGAAAGTATATTAAATATACACAAAATTGTAAAAAAAAAAATTCAATATATATATTACAGTTTTTAAAATAAAATAAAAATACTATTTTAAATTTTATCTAATTATTTTTTGATTTGAAATAAATCTAGAATGTTCCGATTTGCAAAATATTTTTTATAAAAGGAAATGATCTATATAATATATTTGGAATATCTCCTGACTGTAATTATATAAATTTGTATTAGTTATTCTGTGTCTGATATATGTATAATATAAAAAATCTAAAAAAAAAAAATTGATTTTATCCTAACTCACTTATAAGATTCAGAATCCAAATATTTTATTGTTTTCTTTTTTTTTTCTACTTCAGATAATGACGATTCATCATTTGCTGATAACAAAGATTCATCAGCAGAAGAAGAAGATAATAAGGAGGAAGAGGAGGATGAAGAAGAGAATGAAGAAGAAGAAGAAGAGGAAGATTCATTTCTTTTTTTAGATTTCTTTTTATTATTTTTGTTAACAATTTTTTTATTTTTATTATTTTTATTAAGTATTTTGATAACTATTTGATCTACTTGTTTGTATTCTATAAATATTATATATATTAATTATATATTAGTCATAATTATATCATAAACCGATAATTAATTAATTAATTAGTTTACTTTTTTTTAAAATTTTATTTTTTGTTTTTTTTTTTAATATCTTGATATGATAAAAAAAATTTGTTATTTTTTTTGATTTTGTCATTTTCTTAAAAAAAAATATTTTATTTTTTCTAACTATTCTAATCTAATTAAATAAAATATTTTTTTTAAAAAAGAAAGAAAGAGAAAAAATAGTTCTTTATATATTGTATTTTTCAGATTTTTTGATATCAAAAAGTATGATATCGGACATATTATATATGATATTATATGAAGTAATATTTTTATATTACTTATGTTCTTAATTATGACACATTATTTTTATATGTAGTTAAAATATATGAAATATATATTTAAAGACAAAGTATTTTAATTTTTAGAACTTTACTTTTCTTCAAAATTGAAAGGAAAAATTAGTTACTACCTGAAAACAAAAAAAAAATAAATAAAAAATACACATATCGAGCTTTAGTATTATATATGAGAATTATATAATATAGTATTATTAACATGATATAGTATTATTAATATTATATGTATTTTAAAGAAATAAATAGAAATGGAGTGGTAGGTTACAAGCCTGTCTCTCATAAGTTAGTCCAAGTCTCATCTTTTCTAACAAACATTAGAATAAGTTATGTATTTTGTATTATGTAATCTTATATAATGTAAAAAACTT